TGAATCTATGGGCAGTGTGTAGGTCTCTTGGTTCTGCCTCCCACTAGAATCTGATAAGCAAATTTGAACACCCGACCTCATCCATGCAATCTTCTATCGAGCCTACTGAGCTACTGTGGAAACTGAACGATTTGTACGCAATATCGGACTGGAAAGCAAATGAACAATCATCCTCAAGTATGCAAGCCCGCAAAGAACCACTAGAACCAAGAGCATCAGGCAAACATCCCACAGCCCAAACCCAACATACAACAACCATGGACTTACCCCTGGTTGGTGCGCAAGCAGTGTCTGTAATAGCTTACCTGTGTCAGCCCAGGGGAGTGTGTCCAGCCGTGCATCATTCTAACGCCCTGCCAGTGTCCATGCACAAGGCTGTGGAGTTTTGAACCCGCAACCTTATACCACAATGCACATTTCCAACCGGTGCTCTAACCACTGAGATACATCAGCCCAGAGGAGTGCGTCCAGCCGTGCGTCATTCTAATGCCCTGCCGTGCGTCATTCTAATGCCCTGCCGGTGTCCATGCCCAAGGCTGTGGAGTTTTGAACCGGCAACCTTATACCACAATACTATAGTCAGCAGAGCAGGGTTACCCAACCAGCCGTTCAGGAAGTATCAACACCCGCCCCTCCAAACGCCCAGCCCTTGGGCTGGACGCTGGGGAGCCAAACTGCAGTAAGTTCGGCTCCGCCATATGTTATTTAGGGCTCTATTTTTTACCTTCGTTCCTACTGCGCAAACACAAAATTTCAGTGACATTTGCTTAACACAAAAAAAGCTAAAAATCACCGAAGTTAGGGGGGTAAGAACATCATTAGCCCCCTGGGTTTTTTTGTTTTTTTTTTGTTTCTTCACTTGCGTTTTTTTTCCTCAATCAACCAATCAAATCACACACACACACACACACACACACACACACACACACACACACACAGGCATGCTGCCTCCCCCCCCCAAACACACACACACACGCATGCGTGAGCAGCAGCATGCAGGTGCGCGTGCACACACACACACACACACACACACACACACACACACACACACAGAGTCACGCTTTTTTTGTGGCGTTGTGTTTAGGAAACACAACAACACGAACGCACCCACAAGCGCGGCGCAACACGCTAGCACAGATGCACCTGTGCGACACGCACCCACAACACGCTAGCACAGATGCACCTGTGCGACACTTGCACACACACCCACACACGTGCACCCGTTCACAGACACGCACACGGACACAAGCACGCACACACACACGGGGCTGAACGACGAATCTTTTTTTTTCTCTTTTCAGAATCTATCAACTGAGGGTTGAACGACGAATCTTTTTTTTTTTTTCCAAAATGGATCAACTGATCAATCAATCGATCGAGACTAATCCACGTATCAATCAACCAATCGAGCCATCCATATATAATCAATCAATCAATCAATCAACTGTCAACCACAAACATGCATCCAAACACACACACGTGCACCCATGCACGGACACATGCGCACGCACGCACGCACCCCCCAACCCCCCCCCAACACACACACGCTTCGGGTGGATGGGCAGAGGGAGCTCAGCTGCGTTCTGCAGCAAGTATGCCCCACCCCACAGAGTTCTCTTTTTTGTTCAATGCGGAGGGGAAGAGCTCCCCTTCGGCGGCACACCCCCAAAGAAAAACTGGAAAATCTTGGGGGGAGGGGGGGCGGCGGGAACGGCCGGATTTTTCCGTTCGGCGTTGGCAGCACCGCACTTTCGGGTGCTCGGGCAAACTGGTCGGCAGTCTCCGAACGCTGGTAAGACTGAGCATTCCCATCTCTTCAGCTTGTTACTTCAAATCTCAGTGTTTGCCATAAAATTGGATCTTCACCATCCTCTTCTTTTTTTTTCTTCTTCTCAGAGACCTTCACCACCGTCTTCTTCTTCGCGGGAAGCCCCCCGAAGATTCCCAGGAGCGCAACCTGGTCCAAACGTTTACGGGACTGTGCGCATTCCTGACACTTGTACATGCGGAGCCGCAATGTTTTGCTGTTGAAGTGCGCACGGAAGGCAGATTTTTTACATTCACCACCCTCTTCCTCCTCCTCTTCTTTTTCTTCTTCTTCTTGACTTCGGTGGGCCGCAAGGCAGGGTCATGAGGTTAGCCCCCTGAGGATGATCGGAGCGCAGCCGATCGAAACGCATCTGGGAATGTGCGCGTGAGCTGAGATGAGTATGCGCGGATATGTATGACTATCTTCACCACCCTCATCTTATTTTCTTCTTCTTCGTCGTCGTGATGGCCATCACCTTGATCATGTGGTGCTCCATATGCCAGGCATCCAAAGGGATGCACACAAACCTGCCAACCAATGCTGCCAATCACCATCGAACGTCATCAATGCAACACCTTTCCTTGGGCATCTTCAATCATCCTTCCTTCGGTCATCTTTGCGCCGAAATCTGACCTACAGTAAGAAACGCCCTCACATTCTTCACAATCCATCGGTCAATCATCCACTCGACTAATCGAAATCCACCTCAGCACGGCATATACCAGTGCATGATCCAATCGTTACCGAAGTACTAAGATCTGTACCAAACAAGCGGGAAATTTTAAGGAATACATTTCCAAAAAGGATGAACAAGAAAAGCAATTGTTGGCCACTTGACCAGCATCGCCGTCCGATCAATATCCACATGAAAGTTGCCCAACCGTCTGTCGCTATCAATATCGCGATCCGAACGAACGATAAATCGACAGCCTCTCTGACACATTCTATCAGAAAAGACCACCAGGAAACCACACAAAGCGGCCAATACGTAAATCCATTGGCCCTACACAACACCTAAAGGTAGATCTGTTGTATATCAGAAGACCAATCAAACGAGCAATCAAACAAGCAAGCAAGCAAACACACTGCGTACGGATCTCCCCCAATCGCCCAGCTTCCAATTTCCGAGGGATAGCAGCCTCGAAGGTCCTCCTTCACTCCCTCCCCACATCAAAAGTAGAACACGGACAAGAAAATGAACAAGAAAAAGAATAGTGAAAATAGCGGCCATTGAGTGCGTCTCGCAGATGCTCCAACAGGTAAACGTTACATCTCCGCAACAGGGAAATAAGAGAGAGAGAGAGAGAGAGAGAGAGAGAGAGAGAGAGAGAGAGAGAGAGAAAGAGACGCGTCTATTCTGCACGTTACGACTGACAAGTCGATTCCGCGCAATCCATTCATCTCATTATTTGTGTTCCGTTGGTTCAAGCATCCATCCATCCCATTGTTTGTCCTGCAAGGGGTTCTGGTCGGTTCAAGCAATCCATCCATCCCATTGTACGTCCTTGGTTGGATGACCCTTCTCCACTTGCCCTGCGTCATTTCCATGTGTTCCGTTCGGTTCAAGCAATCCATCTATCCCATTGTTATCTATGCATCCTATTGTCTTGTCTGTGTTTGGGAAACCTTGACAAAGACTGATTGATTTGCAGAGAGAACTTCAGACAAAACCACGCAAGTTCCGCCCGGCGGAGGCTACGATGGGCGGTAAGAAGCGCAATCGGAGAGTGCCGTCGCAATGATGAACCCCCTTCTTTCTTTGAAGACAGCCAGTCCATTTTCTATGTACATACTCGAGGCGTGCTGCCTCCACGGCGAGCTAGACAGTCCAATACAGCAACAAGCGAACGAGAGATGCACATACATAGATGCATGACAGGGAAACGAACGGATGTAAAATAATACCGAAAATAGATATACAGAGACAGGAAAGAAATAGAGAGAATAAGCAAATAGACAAAGAGAAGCAAGAAGACGGACAGTGATAAATACCATAAATAGATATACAACCATAGACAGACACGAAAGCAAGGGAGAGTATGGTAGATTCATCGATGCATGAGTAGAAAGACATAGAGATGCAGGAAGTTGCGGGTAATGGATAGGTATGCATCCACACATACATACATACATACATACATACATACATACATACATACATACATACATACATACATACATGCTTGCATGCATGCATGCAAAGAGAGAGAGGCGATCGATGATATAACAGACAGAGGTAGATCGTTGAATAAATTCATGGACAGGCGCGCATAGATGGATAGACGGATAGATAGATATATCAATACCGACAGATGGATGGACAGACGGAGTATACATAGGCAAGTCGGTATATACATAGGTAAGATAATAGAGAGGTAGGCAGGTACAGTAGATCGATCGGACGATCGATCCATGATAAATAAACAGAGATGACCAGACAGACGGACAAATAGATAGATAGATAGATAGATAGATAGATAGATAGATAGATAGATATAGATAGATAGATAGATAGATAGATAGATAGATAAATAGATAGATAGATAGATAGATAGAGTTAAGAGGATAGGTAATTGGATGGATGGATGGACAGGTAGGTACGTAGGTCGATCGATAGGGGGCGATAAAGGGGTCGACAGAGAGAGATGGGTAGGTAGGTAGGCTGATCGACCAATCAGCCCGGTAAACAAATAACAGATAAACAGGTAGGTAGATAAGGCAGAGATATATGTACGTAATAAAGGGGAGGAATGGGTGCGTGGACACATAAATGCATTGTCCAACACCTATAGACTAGGATCGCAAATGCGAAAGAAAGGAAGAAAAGATACATTCAAGACTAGACAGAAGCAAGCAATGATGATGGCTCCCTGCTTTTTATCTTTTTTCCCTGAATTTCTCGTTTGTTTTTCGGATGCCCTTTTCTTTTCCTCTTCCATAGGGTGAAAGGTTTCCCTAGGTTTGTATCATTGAGTAAAAAGTGCCCACACGCCCCTCTGCTTATCGAAGCCACACTTACGCCGGCAGAAGAAGGTAGGGACACCAAAGAGAGTATAAGCTGTCTCTTATACACATCTAGATGTGTATAAGAGACAGATGAATTATAGATTGAACAGGAAAGAAGAAACGTCATAGCCTTGCAGTATCCGTGATCAGTTCAGGGATACGGAAAAGGAAGCAAGACACGCACCGTAGGATCTTTGATGTGGACAGCCGTTCCTTTCTTGATTCTCCCAATGACTGCGCTTTCTGAAGAGATGAGAACAGGGGCTGTCTCTTATACACATCTAGATGTGTATAAGAGACAGATACATAGGCAAGTCGGTATATACATAGGTAAGATAATAGAGAGGTAGGCAGGTACAGTAGATCGATCGGACGATCGATCCATGATAAATAAACAGAGATGACCAGACAGACGGACAAATAGATAGATAGATAGATAGATAGATAGATAGATAGATAGATAGATATAGATAGATAGATAGATCTGTCTCTTATACACATCTAGATGTGTATAAGAGACAGCACATAAACTCGCCGCGTTAGCTGGCATGAACCACGCACTGAAAGCGTGGCCTGACAAATAAATACACAGCCGTAACACGCGGTCCTGGACAGATAGATGGATACATAACTGACATACATGCATACACAGATAGGTAGATATATCGATAGATAGATTGATAGGCAAGCAGGTAGGTAGAATGGATCGATAGGCCGGTAGGTAGGTATGCGGGTAGGTGAGCAGGTTAGTGGACTTTTGATGCCTTGAGATATAAGTGGAATGGAAAGATCGTTCCCGGCACCAACGAGGCATCAATGAATTATAGATTGAACAGGAAAGAAGAAACGTCATAGCCTTGCAGTATCCGTGATCAGTTCAGGGATACGGAAAAGGAAGCAAGACACGCACCGTAGGATCTTTGATGTGGACAGCCGTTCCTTTCTTGATTCTCCCAATGACTGCGCTTTCTGAAGAGATGAGAACAGGGGCCATGCCCTTGGCCGGTCCGGACAAAACCTCAAGCTTGAGTTCGTCAGCACCAGTTGTCCGAGCACGCCGGCTAGCTTCCATCGCGGATGCCACTCTCGGCGGACTTTCCATTTCCCCTCCGTTGCCGCCTTCCTCCCGATCATCATCTCCTTCCTCATCCAAACGCACACCTTCGGGGTTCAGGAATGGGGGAGAGGAAGACCGACGAGGAGGATCTTCCACCTCCCCACGATAGCCGCTTCCTTCAGGCGCGCCGGGATCTTCATTGATCTCGTCTTCTTCGTTCGTTGCCTGTGCCAGCTTCTCGGCGGGAAAGGGCCGATTTCTCTTCGCAACCTTCTTTGGTGGCATAGCTTACGTAGTGCCAAGTCAATGCACGCGTGGCAATGGCAGTCGTCTTGACGTGTATTCCTGGCAAAAGACTGGTGCGAGAACACTACAGTAGTACACTCTATAGGAGTACAAGTATGCTAAGCTATCATCAGGCAAGACAAGCTTATCAGGCAAAACTCACCTTGATCCCCATGGATATGCCCGAGATTGACCGGCATAGATAGGTATGTGACAAGGAGCGAGGGTTCCCTAGGACGGATCGGAAGTCGACCTGAGATATGCCACCGTTCTCCAGCCAACTGCCACATCTGGCTGAATGGTAAACGAATTACCGATTCCTAAATTCAGATGAACCAAATAACGTCATGTGCTGCACCCATCAGCTGTTGCTAAACAGACTCCACAGATTCCAGAGTTTCGATTGGAGAATAGACTTGGTAGCCTCCCATTCCAACAACAAGACCCTTCCCCAGCTATTCTATTCCGACGTGGGACGGCTCGGACAACCACCCTCGAGGGCGGGCGCCAGATGTTCAGAGTGGACGGACCATCCATGCTGTGAACCGCGCAAGCGCGGGAGCGCAGCCCGTCGGGAGCGGGGAAAGGTTGGGGGCTTTGTAGCCAATCGTTCAGATTCAGATGGCAGGGGTCTCAGGGGTCTCAGGGGTCTCAGGAACGTTCTTTTGGCCGGGTGCGCAGCGAAGCGGTTTTTTTTTTGTTTTTTTGTTTTTTTGTTTTTTTTCTTGACGGGTGGTGGTAATTTGGAAAACACCCGAGGAAGTTGAGATATATGCCAAAATGCCGCTAAAAGATGGGGGTAGAGCGGAATACCCCTCTGACGAAAGAAAGATTTTGTGAAATATCCCTGCCGTTGGTTGGACGCCCATCCCTGCAATATACCCCTACAGAGTACCGTCCAACTTTGCAAAACGCCCCAGTACTTGCCAACTTCTCCTAGACGCTACTGCAAAAGGCCAAGGCCCAAACGGGGAGGTCCAGATTGCAAAGGTGCACACCCCCCTGAAAGGGGCACAACACACAGTTTTAGGCCCAAAAAGGCATTCCGCTCTACCCACATCTTTCATCGGCATTTTGACATACATCTCAACTTATGAGGGTATCTTGCATATTATCCTTTTTTTTTGAACTGGAAGCCAAACACTCCGTTATAAAATCAGGACGAGGCCGGGGACCTCCCAATTCAACCCAGGGACCTTGTCTCACTTGCACCGTCTAGTTGAGGCAGCTCAACGGTGCGACAGCTAAAAAAATTCCCCTCGACAGCTAAAAAAATTCATTCTAATTCAATTTCAAATGAGAAATGCATTTATAAATGGCACGAATGCAATTGTTCTGGTTTTTCTTTTGTCACAATTGGAGTGGCATACGGGCACTTCCACAGCAGAAAATGAAGAGTTGCCAAATGGCAAACGGAAAGAGGCTCGTATAGTTTCTCTAAGAAAATGCCCTTTGGAGGAACAAGAGGGTCGTTGAGTTAGCTGTCTCGAAAAAAGGAGACAGCTAGCTCAACGGAAAGTGGTGATGGTAGGGGGAGTAGTATTCGAGAGAAAGGATTTACTTCTGCTTTTTGTTGTAAGAAAACACAGAGATAGTCTCTATTGCGTTTTTATTAAAAACGGACCGCTAGATGACTTGGACAACGTGCATCTTCGTTGTCACATACAGTCACACAGCGTCGAAAACCCAATGTTGACCTAGCTCAACGGAGCTAGTGGAACAAGGTCCCAGGGTACTGACAGCATCAACCAGCTTAGGGATAGCCTGCAGAACTCACACCTACCGAGTTTCCAATTCCCAAAAATCCAAACTTCCCTGAATTGCAATTAAACTTGTTATTGAGGGTGTTTCAAATTTGATTGCATAAGATCCAAATCGGTGACAATCAGACACAGAACCAGAACTTGCCAACTCCTATCAGTTAGCCACTACCTAGAGAATTGGTCTAACTCTGGGATTAAAGCGGTTCAGAGGACTATGTCTGGATCCTATTGACACTCCGCCTTGACTCTGCAGTCGGCGCCGCTGTGTAGCTACAATCTTTTTATCCATGGATGTATTCTTATTTTGTTCAATAACACCTCCATCTGCAATACAAACAAGAGAGGGGCGAGTGGGCAACCTTGTTTGAGGGATCGCATCAATTTGAAAGGAACATACATGTGACCATTGATCATGACCACGGAAATGGCAGTTGTGTACATGCCGGCTACCCATTTGTAGAACCCTACACCAAAGTTGTTATCTTTAAGGTCGTCATGACAAAGGTTCACCCGACCTCGTCATAACCTTCTCCATATCGATGAGCAAGATGTCATGTTCAGATTCTCTGATTGTACTATTTATAGCACCTCTATGGTCATGAGAATGTTGTTGAAGATCGACCGACTCTGCACAAATTCTCCTTGCACTCCCGCGACTAACTCTGGAATGTACTTGGCAAGACTTCTTGCAAGAGTTTTTGCTAAGATTTTGCAGGACATGTTCATTAAGGAGATTGGACGTCGGTTCTTTACGTATAATTTGTCACCCTCCTTTAACAGTACCGAGATGATTTTGCAGGTCATTTTCCTCCCCAACCTTCCTCTAGTTAGTACCTTGTTGTCTAGATATACCAATGCAAGTCCGATGACTCTCCAGTTCTTGACGTATAATTTCATTGTTATTCCATCCACCCATGATGATTTACCCCGCGCCATTGTCTTCAACGTTTGGGTAGTTTCCTCCATTGTATAGGTTTGTACAAGTCTAACCTAACAGTTGTAATAAAACCACTGTAGTGTCGTCCCACATGTCTGACGACTCCGTCAAATATGTGTTAAAATGCTCTTGTGGTTGTCGTGTGGTCAAAATATCCTCATAATACAGTTTGGCATATACCAACATGCCCGATGTTATAGATGCTCTAGGCGCCTGATTGTCGATGGACCACGGATAATATATTTAATTGATCAGACCATATACTAAACTTGATCTTAGCCAAAATGTCGAGAAAGGTATTGGAAACGTTTTTTATCCTTAAATTTAGGCAGTGTGAATATGGACGGACCTGAAGAGGAAACGAAGGGGATGCAAGGGGACGGCGCAAAGAGCTCCGAGTTTGTGCTGTCAGTAGGCTCTAAACACGTCGACTGACGTTGCCGATCATAGGTCATGCCGCCAGGACGGACCGACAATTAGGGTTGTCGTCAACCTCGGCAAGACCGAGAGTTGACATTGCGCACAAGTAGGCCTTGGTTACAGGAATGTCAACGTGTACATGTGTAAGTCGAGGTCAAGTGAGAAGTCGTGAGAAATTGAAGATTGGGCATGCGCCAAATCAACATCCGCCATTGACGTGGAGTTTCGAAATTTGAAGAGAGTGCAAGTGCACATTTCAGAATTTGAAGAGAGGTCATGTGTATAGGTGAACAAGCGAAAGAAAGTAAGGAACTAATGAAGATGGCAAACTTACCAGGAAGGGGAGAGGATCAAGGGAACAGTAGGGGTACGATGCCACAAGAGAGAAACGATATTCCTCTGCCTGAGAGTTGACACTACCTACCAACACACCTTGGTTACGAGAATATCAACGTGAACACGTGTAAGTCGAGGTCAAGTGAGAAGTCATGGGGAATTGAAGATTGGGTGTGCGCTGGATCAGTATCCGCCATTGACGTGGAGTTTTAGAATTTAAAGAGAGAGCAAATGCACAAGTGAACTAACGAAAGGAAGTGAGGAAATGACGGAGATAGCAAACTTACAAGAAAAAGGAGAGGATAAAGGGAATGGTAAGGGTGCAGAGCTGCAAGAGAGAAGCGATATTCCTCTGTTTAAGAGTTGACATTGCCCACCAGCAGGCCTTGTTTTTTATAATGTCAACATGTACACGTGTAAGTCGAGGTCAAGCAAGAAGTTGTGGGGAACTGAAGATTGGGCGTGCGCTGGATCAGTGTTTGCCATTGACGTAGAGTTTCAAAATCAAGTGCACAGGTAAACAAGCGACGCCCCTCTTGGGGTTGTGAATATGCGTTTGGCAAGGAGAGGAAGGCGAATAGTGCATAGCAATGTACGGGGAGGGCCACTGCTGTTTCGTATATTTACTCCCCCCTTATGGCACACATGACTTTGTGTGTCCCGCGATTTGGCACAACGCTGGAACGATACGAAAAATGTTCAAAAAAACAGGCGAATAGCGCATCCTGTTGCACAAATGACAATAGGTTCGCATACACATGAACATTGTTTTAGCCTGTGGTTCATAACGAGAAACCCATGTGTTCAAGATAAATTGAAGGAGACATAGACAGACTAAGACAGACGAGGAGATGAAGGTGAATAACGCATAGCAATGCATGGACAGGGTCGTTATTGTTTCGTACGTCAATAAAGCAAAAATAAATTGAGTTCCCTGCACACACAACTATGAACTTGTATACACATGTTGCACAACACGGGAGCGTTTGCCCCGTGGTTGAAGACCGATGGTTGCGTGTGTGTATCGTGGGGGGCTCAGAGCCCCCCCCCCTTCCCCACACCCCTCGCCCCCCCCTCGTCTATTTGGAGTTTTTGTTATTCTTTTAGCTTATCATCGATACAACTTGAAAGATTGATACTCGTGTGGGGGGGAGGGGGGGACCCACTCCCCCCTCCGCTGCCAGAAAAGAGAAGAAAAGAGAGAGAGAGAGAGAGAGAGAGAGAGAGAGAGAGAGAGAGAGAGAGAGAGAGAGAGAGAGAGAGAGAGAGAGAGACGAGTTTGTTGTTTTTGTTAAACCGAATGAGGCAATTCATAAACAAAGCAACAAATAGAAAGGAAAAAAACTAGCACAAAGAATTGGATCAAGCACTAGGACGAAGTGAGAGTATGTCCTCAAGTTTATAGTCGTCGTTGTTAACAACGACGTAAGTTGGATACAACAAAAATGTATTGTCCTTGATAGACCATCAACGTGGGGTCATACTTATCACAGACATGTGATTCTGTGTATATGCGGGTGAGTTGTCATGTTTGTCATTTGTTCTAAAAGGAAGGAGATTGCATGTGTATCCGTCGAGGAGGGGGGGTATGTTTATTTATGTGTGTATGTCATAGTATGTATGTACGTGTGTTTGTATCACAATATGTATGTGTGTTTGTGACAAACATACAAAAAGAGAGAGAGAGAGAGAGAGAGAGAGAGAGAGAGAGAGAGAGAGAGAGAGAGAGAGAGAGAGAGAAAGAGGAGATTCACATGTCCTTCCGTAGCAAAGCTACATACAATTGGGCAAACAAAGCGGACAAATGCTTCATCTTGATGAGCCGAAAATGATAATAAAGAACAAAAAAGTGATTAAATTAAACAAAAACTTAGAGTCGGGGTTGAGGGGAAAAAAAATGAGTGAATCATGTGATTAAATTTAAGGAATACATGCACGTGGTCCAAGAAAAAAAAAAAAAAAACCCTCTATCGTTACTCTATGTTGCAAGGA